GCTTTAGCATTTTGCTTTAACAGCTGACTGTTGAAGTTAGCTTCATTTGTCCTCTACTCAACCCTCGACGTTTCGTCGATTGATCCAGTCGAAAAATGTCATCATCATTTGTTAGAACTCAACTGAATATGTACTCTACTTTTTTGCCATTTGAAATACAAATTGCCTTTCATACCCTTGAATGTTACTTCTATGCACCATTTCCTCGAAACGCCTCAAGGGTGAGTGAGAAAAATACTGTTATATTGTTCTGTTCTTTCCTATTACTCTGCTTAAAACAACTTGAACCCCGGCCAGTGAGTCAAAAATATTCTGATAATATGGTGAAATATATATTCCCATCGAAAACGTTAAATGTTCCGTAGACAACGGACATAAAAGGATCATGAAAATAAATTGTTGATTGATTCCATTTCCAAAATTTACTGACCTTTTATATTCAAGTAATTTGGCTTTGTTAACTACTTGCACTTTCTTTGTGATGCACGACCAATCCACAGGGGCTCCAAGGAATGAAAAGTCCATAGATCAGATTTTTCTGAAATACACATTTGCGACTAATGATAAACATCATTTCATAAATAATCAATAAATAAGATATCCAGGTAAACTGAGGTGAAACTACGTATATGGACGGTTATGATTCCAAATTGGAAATCGCATCCTTCCACATGTATAAAGACAAAAATTAATTTATATTCACATGTTCTGTGAGTTCCTTTGATTCAGAGTGATTTTTTAAGGATTTCATTTATAACCTATTTTTATAATCAGTTCGATCAATCACTTTAATTTGATAAATTAATAAAAATGTCGCAAGATGCCGAATTATGAACAAAATGTGTAAATTGACCGCACAGCGAAAAAAAAATTGAATTTGACATTTTTAATATGGTGGAGTGAAGAGGCTCGAAGAGTGACATACATGTCATATCAAAAGCTTTTTAACGTTTTCAAGACTTTTTTAAGTGCGTCGAGTGTTTATGAAGACTTGATGTTCTTGTTGTTCTCGTTCGTTTATTGTAAAAGCCGGCAAAAGCGGTAGCGTTTCTTTTGTCGCTGCGGTTAAACTCACTATCTGTTTAGATACTCTTAAAAAAACAGGTAGTAAATTTGAAAACCACCAAATCATGGTATTTTGACGAAGTCATGATAAACATTGAATGAATTGTTTCTTTCTTTATCAATTGATTGTTTTACGAAATTCGGAACGCGCTCGAAGTTAACGTGATCATGGGCATAACAGGAAAGACAACGTGTGATAAAAATCATATCCGCCTGGTAAATATGTACGTATATGAATGAAAAAAAATATATTATCTGCGGATGGAATCTTGATATTAATGTATCAGCGAAGAAATGATCGTAACACCAGGACAGTCTTTGGAATGTTCTTCGAATGAAACTCCCCGTAATTTATCCTGTCACATTTCAAATATATGTTGCATACGTTACCTGTTCTATAAATTTAAAAGTGGCATCACTTTCATCTTGTCGTTCGTCCGCCCAATCACATGAATAGAGCGCGTGTTTTCATTGGTTGACAGTTACCAACACACGTTTGCCAATCGTTCACACCAGTTTGCCAACGTGTTTGCCGACTGTTTTTGTGCCGTTCAAACACACCAATTTGAGTTTGTCAACACGAATGTGCCAACTTAAGTATGACTTTGCACTAAATGTTATTGTCTAATGCCAAATATGTCGGTGCTTTCCATAGCTATTTCTATAAATATTAAGTAAAGTCAACGGATTTAACACGTTCGATTATTCGTAAAACTACATTATTAGAAGAAATTATAATCCCTCTTGAAACTGAAAAGGTCAACAATACTAGCATAACTGTCCTCCATTAAATGGCCTTTAGAATCATCATTTAATGGCTATAGGATTTTGAAACGTCCCACTCTGCAGACTAGACGGGATGGCTATGTCTGCCAGCTTGTGACGAGACTGCCCGCAGTCTCCAAAGATTGTTTCATTTTTAACCGTTCTTTAAATAATTGCACAATCAGACAAAACAACATTCTTCTCTTATTGCAGGTTCGCACAAAATTTGCTAAAAGCTCCTTTTATTATATATCATGGAGTTGAAACTTTTAATAAGCAAGCCAATTTTGGATTACGTGTCTTTAGCTCTTTTCATTTGTATTCCTGATTTTACCTTTATTATTGTAAAAAAAAGGAGTGTTTTTTTCATGTCATGATATAACTTTTTGGTGCTTTTTTGTAGTTATTTATTTCGTATCTTTAGCAAACTTTTAATAGCTTGGGCAATTTTCGATTATATACGTCTTTAGCTCTCTTGTATTTAAATCTCCTGATTTTACCTTTTTTGTTACAAAAAAATTATTTTTATCACATCATAGTATGGCTTTTTGGTGCTTTTTTGTAATTATTTATTGTGTATTTTTTAGTTCTTTGTTATTGTTATGAGGACCTCTATTGAAAACAGGTGGTATGGCTTCTGAAAGGGACACCCTGATATAAATAAAACAAAGGTGTCTGTCCTATCTAAATGGAAATAAACCAGCTATTACATCATAGCAAACGCTACCATTACGACGAGCATTTTAAAATATTCATTTTACTCATGAAAACACATGCCGAGAACGAAAAAAGGAATAATCAGCACTGCGTATTATCTGGAAGGCTTAAGAAAGGAGTCAAATTGATTTTCTTCTTTTTCAAAATGATAACAGCAAATTGCGGTTTAAGTAATCCATTTCAATCCTCCTCAATTGTCCACTCTCTTTTGGACTCGTTGTATTCCCATTTTATTTATCTCAACTGTTGTAAACAAAATTTACTAACTCTGATTGCACGATCACACGGTGGATATGAAAATTAGTATAGATAACCAATAGGGTGCGTAGCGCTGAGTGGGTACAAAATCTCATTTCCATCTAGTGCAAATGGAATAAGTATTTTATAGGAAACGAAACCACAGGAAAGAAAAGTTATCTCCTGCATCGTACTCAAAAAAAATCCCTTGCGTAGCAGAAAGCTTTTCTCAATGAAAGAGAACGGAGGAACGTTGCTGTCACATTTCAGTTTGCAGAGCATGGTAAGGTTTTTAAAACTCGTAAATTAAACTATAAACATGTTGATCTAAGATTACAGATAAAACAAAAGCTTATCATACAGAGAGTTAATTTGCAAAAGAAACATGTTCCTTAGTGTGTAGGTTAACGCTTTGGTGGATTTCAATCCAACAAAGCTTTGCTTTGTGATGCGGTGTGAAATCATATATAAACAATTGAGCGAAAACTTTAGCTTTGATCCACTACACAGTCAATGGCTGACAGTTTCCATTCTTTGTTCAAAACAGCAAGACCTTCCTCTTTGATCTAGTACATTTTGTAGGTTCTAGTTTGTTTTTAAATCTTTAATTTAGAACCAGACACATCCGGGCTTTCAAGACTGATGGACAATTGCTATTTTTTTTCTTATTTTTGACGTCGATGAAAATTCGAGTCAATAGAAAATGATGTAATTATGTACAGTTCCAAGAAACAATTTTATGAAGTCCAAATTTGAAATTAAAAGTTCAAAGCCCAAATCTCTCCAATTATGTAATTTCTCCAAATTATGTAATTAAGTTCAGTCTCAAAAACCTCAAATTTTATCGAATATCCTAGTTTGATCTCAGTGAATGCAAAATAAAATTTCTAAGGAGATAGACAGGCAAAATATGAAATATGATTGATACTAGCGCGCTACAATTTCGCCATATTTCACTAGGTACACTGATAATCAATACATATTTCTTCAAATCGAAATAGTCAGTAAAAAGCTTGAAAAAGCTTCTGGAATTTTCTATTTCTCATGTAATTTTCGAATTCAGAAACCTTGCAACGATGCTTTTTTAATTCTTTAAAGAAGTTTCTGGAAATTCCGGGTTTAGTTGTATAAGAGCGCGAGTTTTGTCCGTAAGAGACCAATGAAAAATGTAATGAAGCTCAGTGCTGCTGAGTGCTGTAATCCGAGAGGGTAGATAAACCAGTTTGTTACTGCTACCAACGCTCAGGAGCTCTGTATGGGAACAATCTTGCTCTGCATTGACACTCTTTACATCCTCCTTCCCTTCGGCAGCATTTTGTACCATTTAGGTAAACAAGTCTATACATATTTCTTTCAAATCGAAGTAGTTTAAAAAGCTTTAAAAAGGATTTTAATCCACTATTTTACTGCGTTTCAAAGTTTGCAAAAGGTTTCTCCGATACTTTTCAGTTATTATATCGTTCTTTGTTGATTGACAAATTGGTCCTAGTCGCCGAGAATGAAATAACACCTACATTTTAACTCTAAATTTACTCTTCCACTGCGAAAAGTTGAAGCCAAAAAAATCAATGTTCCAAAAACTATCGTTCCAGTTCAACCACGTTTTGTTTCCTTAGTAGCCCGGCCTGAAGCTTACTGCCAGACCTCTAGCTAGTTTCCAGGTCCTACAGCTCCGACTCGCGGAACTCCGCGACAGTCCTGATCTTACCTTGGAAATCCCCTTCATAAAGAGCTCTCATTTCTGGAAGCAATCCAGCGTCACACAACACTACTGTGCGCGGTAAGACCACAGGCTGTACACAAGCTACGTGGCGCGTATCAAAACACGCCATCAATTACGTAACGCGAACTTATTCCACTAAAAGAAGCTCCCGGATATAATGAAAATAAGTCTCTAAACAGCAACATCATTCTCGTTGGCCAGGACAGAACCCGCATTAATACTTCAAGTGAATTATAGATATTTGGTCACATTTCACCAGTGAATGTTAATTGTAATATTAATTCGGCATGTCACTGGCCAGAAGCCTTCATTTAATAACCTCGGGTTTTAAATGTATCTAAATATCTATTTCTTAGAAGCTTTTTTTTTCTCTTGTAGTTAAGTTATTTCAGAAATTCGCAACCAAATCGAAGAAACACGTCAGATTTCCCTTTAGCTGAGGGTAATTTAAAACTAATGCTATAGCGATTTTAAAAAACAAACTAATTCATACTTGACAAGAAAGGCCGCCGTACTTTCGGGGTCCGCCATTGCCGTGTTGTGACCGCCTCGTCCGCCTATATGTTCCCTGAACCCGTGAACCCGCTTAAGATTGAAAGCATAAACATTAACGACTCGCGTTCATGCTATTGTGGTATATCAAACGTAAATTTGAGTGACAACCTGGGCGTCTTCAGGCAAAGTGCAACCCGGCAGGTGGAATAATCAGGCAATTAACATAACAATTTAGCGAGGGTTTAATCAGAACAGGCTTTTCGCGTCCCGGGGCGCAGATTGTCTTAGTGCAACGAAACAAATGGTCGTGTTTCGATACGCTATTCAATGATTTTTTGTAATTTTCATCTTCAGACTGGCGGCCAAAGTCGATGTCAAATTTTTATATCGCTAAAAGAAGATTTGCATTCCACTTGATAGTATGTCAAAGCGTGGCAAGTCTCATTGAGGTTTCCCGAAGCTTGTAGGGGATTCAAAACAGACAAGAGTCCGCTTCGTTTGAACAAACAAAAGGAGAAACTCTTATATTAATTTGTTTCTTTGTGTCAATTTCTAGTTTTACTCTCATGGTAGATCCTGGCAATTTCCTCGACAAACCACCCACTATAACTATCAAATTGTCTAAATGTTTGACACATTCTGAAGCATTGGATTTCGCAGGACGCATGAAATATTAATAAATCGCAGTCCTAAAGAAATACATTAGCATCGTATTTTTGTTGTTATATTATGCAATATCGGCTGAGAATTCTTGAAAGCTTTCCTCATATGTAGTACTACAATATGGAATGTTAAAGTTGGGAAAGCTACCGGAAAATGTAATTTCTGATGATTGAGGGACGAATTAGGCAGAAATTACAATTCTGACGGCACGATGGAGAGGCTCGCGGGGTGTCATGGGACGTCTAGGGACTGTTTAAGCATTTGGCGGGAGATTTAGGCCATTCTAGGTTAATCAGTCTTCATGTTCGTCTTCTTTTTTATTAAGCTTTTGTTATAACAGCTTGTATGTATAATTGTAAATGTTCTACGTTATTGATTTCGTACCCTTTCCTCGGGGTCTGTTGCTGCTGCATTTTAAAAATGAGGAATTATTTCCACATATTTTTGGCCACATCTAAAGGGTGTCTTTTAATGATTTTTCGTATCTGGCGTAGCACAGGTTCCAATTGTTAGAACCAGTAGTTGTAATTTGCAAAAATATAGATTACATTATCAGACGAAATAAATCTGTATCAGATGACTAGCTGACGGATCCTCAATAAACTATTGGAGTTAGAATCAGTTTGTTCTCACCTCGCAAATTTGCCGTTTTTATGCAGTTCTTGTTGTCGTAAGCACATGGTCTCTTCATGTGCTAAACTGCGTTAGTATATACCATACAAGTGAATAGCGCTCTTCGCGCTCGCTGATTGGCTAGCTCGGAGGTGATTAGCCAAGTACTATTCACCTCCAAGCGCGCGAATTTTTTTGTCCGATCATTTGTCAGTATCTTGTCACAAATAAAGTTGCTCTTTGGTCCGCTAGTTATTCAGCTTGTGCGGTATGTACTAAAACAATTATTCACCTCAGTGTCGGTGAAAGTGGTGGATATTTACCTCCACTTCGGTGAATAATTGTTAATTATTCAGTGCGTAATGTCGACGAGAATAAGAGGAAGGCTGTATGCACGCGGAAAAAAAACGATAACCTAGCTGTACCAGTCAAGCTCCATTGCAAAAGTCAAGACAGAGCTGGCAGTCAAAGGCCGAAGCTGTGATGGCGGTTTTAGCCTTGAGCGTTATAAGGCCCGGTTTTCCCTTCGACATAAGAACAAGTACAAGCATAACGATAGAGAGGACGCCCACAACACGAGCATAAGCACAACAAACACACGCTAGTTAAGCACAAGCACAAGCCCAAAGAGAATGAACATTTTTGTTCTTCTTGTGATTGTGCTCGGCTTATGCTTATGTCAAGTAAGAACGCGCTGCTGTAAGGTCTGTGATCATAAGCATAAACTTCATCCGCCATCTTGGTTCTTTCCATCGTATGGTTCATTCCATCAGGTATGGAACCAAAACTGAGGCAATCATCTATTCTGCGCATGCGTACGTGCTTATGCTTGAGTTCTAGACGTCCTCACAAACCGTTATGCTTATGCTTGTGCTTATGTCGCTGTGAAAACCAGGCTTAAGTGCAGCAGCAGCCATAAAAAATAACGCCTCTGTTTACTAAAGCGTCTTAACACGAATAACATCCTTTAACACGGGCAAAATCTTTTAACGATTATTATTTTAGAATCCAGTTGCAGACGAACTTGAAGTGAACAGAGGGAGGGATAATGGGACTAGGATATATAAAAGTTTATACTTTGCTCCTCTCTCCACCCCACCTAGTCGCCTTTTTGTCGTCTTCACATATCTACTCGCTCCAACTCTCCTCGTTGTCCAGCATATTAATTTTAATGAGCGATTTCTCGCCAGAAAACTCCTTGGAGTGGACTTTTCCTACATTCAGTTTACCAGTTTCATATCTTAATTGCAATGAAGTCTTTCAGTCTATAGTTAATGATAGAGAAATTACTTCGATGAATGCTTGTCACATTAATTTTACTGCATCTTGAAGTCTCCTTCATATCATTTGTAGCTGAGGCCCCGTCCACACAATGTCGGAGGAATTTGAAAACGCAACAATCACCGGTCATTTTGCATTTTGCAGTAAACCTCGGGCAGGCGACTATCATGACTATCGTAACATCATCGTTTACGACGTTTACGAAAAGCGTCGCTGTCAAAATGTTTTCCGTCCCAACTAAAGCGCAAAGCCGGCGTTTCCAAATTCCTCCGGTTTAAAGAGCGTTTTCGAAACGCTTCGTTTTCGTGACGGATTAGTACCGACGGTAGCCCTAACCGGAGAAATAAATCTGCGTTTTCAAATTCCTCCGGCGTTGTGTGAAGAAGGTCTGAGATAGAGCTGGACTTCACTTGTAAGTTTGAGCGTATTTTCATTGATTTCATTTGTCGAGCAATGTGTAAGAACACACGAAAAAATCATCACGATCGTTATTGCGGCTGACTCCTCTTTACCCTTGTTGACCAAAGGTGTGCGAATCGGTCTCAATGTTTGTTACTAGAATACAAATGAAAGGTTTTTATTAAAAATGTATCAAGCCGCAGGCAAAACACGAGAATTGTTGTCAGTGCGGATGATTAAAATTCTCCTGGTGAAATTTGTAGTTATTCCTAAGAACGAACAAGTGGCTTGTAAAGTCGCAGTTTTATCACTGAGTAGGTCACATGACTCAACGTTTGAGCGTATGTGGAACTTAAAAAGGCGGCGTTAAGAACTAGATGGTCTCCCGCCGGAAGGCAACATTAACTCCAGGATTTTGTGCTTAAATTTTCTTTTAGTTTCTATTATTCCGCCGCTCTTTAATTCCTGCCGACAACGATTATTACATAAACTGTCGCTCGCGGACACCATGATGCTTTCGGAGAATACAATAAGTAACGCTAATTTCTTTTTTTTTCTACCTAGCGAAATTTTACTTTTTAGTTGTTGTTTTTTTTTTTACTCACTATTTTCCATAGATTCATGACAAATTTTATAGTTTTCAGTCGTTAAAAATTCTTCTGCGACACTTTTCTTGACAGATTACTAAGCAGAATGTCTTTGGCAGATCTCTCGCGAGATGAAATCTACAGTCGTAACCTGAACGAACTTTTCTTTTTAGTGAGCCATTTTCAACCCCATCTTTTCTCTGACACAAGTAGTTGCATAATATCAAGTCGATAATACGGCTTTTGTGAAAATGTTTTTAGCAGATCAAAGATAATTCTGAACTCATTTATTTGCAGTCAAGATATTAAATGTTAATTAGCGAATAGCAGTGCGCGTTAAGATGTTATGGCCAACCTTAGCTTTCATTTCACATCCCCTGTTTTCCATAGACACATAAAAATTTCATAGTTTTCAATCGAGGACACGCCTTTTAAGGCAATGTGCTTAGAAGATCAAAAGTACTTATCATTTCATATTTTTGCAATGAGGAGATATAAAACCGACAGTTTATAAAACTTTACTTTCTGACTGTGTTTGGCGGATCAAAGTATTTATTCTCTTATTCATAAAACCGACAGTTATATAAAAACGTACCTTCTGGCTGTGTTCGTGTTGCTTTCAGAGAGAATCGACCCAGTGACTTTTACACAAAGGCTAATGCATGTGAATCTCTGAGAGCTGTATCTGTGCGCTTAAGTAACTAAACAATGATCTTATCTTGATTCCAAAGTACATTTTTCTAGACAGTAATTTTACTAAACGCCTGCTGTTTAAAACACTCATATTATGCCGCTAAAAGAGTCGCCGCCGCCATTTCCAGCAGGTGTCGAATTTGAACGATTAAGTCGAGGTTCCGGCTAGACGTTTTCAATATCTGGAAAAGGATGGATTATCATATCAAAGTCGAGGGAATTCAAGCTCAATTAGAAGTGCTTATTTCGACAGTTTCTCTTTATTCTTGGGCGTTTTGTTGGTAAGGAAAGTTTCCGCGTAGCGAAGTAATTATAAAATTAACACGACTTTTACGCGGGCATGCTTTATATTTGGGTTATTGAACTTGCGGGAATTCACAACAGCAGCCGTGATACGACATCAGTTCATTGTGTTAATCATTCGAATTTTTTTGGAATGCAAGAATATTAACACTGGTTACGTAAGAAAATAGGCTTAGGTTATACCTAAGTATTTTGAAAATGAAAAGTAGAAATGAGAAAAACTATGCAGAACACTAAGTGAGAATTATGTTATCATTTGACAAGCGACAGCTCTGCAGGACGAAAACAAGGCGGTCATCTCAAAACGAAAATGCCGAAACTTTTTGTCTATTTTTTATTATTTCCGAACACTCTAGATTTATTTTTTCGAATTAAGACGGTGTCCTGAGGGGAGGGAAAAAACAAATTAGAAATTTGGTTGTTATAGCTTCTTTGACAGGTAACAACTCACTGCCCTGAAAAGATTCCGAAAGCTTCAGACAACACAGACATCTAAGTCAGTAGTTTATTTTTTTCAAATATATTTACGCGAGAATTGTGCAACTGCAGCGTGGAAACCGAACTTTTAATGCATATGAATCGATGCGGCGTAGAGCTTTTTATTTCTTAATTATTTCTTTCTTTTTATTTCTTAACTGCGGATGTCTCATGAGTTTGTAGGTATCCTTAAATTAAAGGTCATATTATCAAATATTCCTCGAATGTAGTTCACATTACCAAGCCGCTTTTTAAAATACTATTGATTAAAGTTTTCAAACTACTGTATTATTATTATGGAAGGGTTATATGGTATCAGACAACCCTTTCGAGAAACCTTTTTAATATTATTTCTCGCATCTCTTGTTGGCATGGGATACAGTCAAAATCCCGACCAATCTTCTATAACTGGAATTTGATACTGTACGCTTATCAGAGGAGAACTGGTTTGGAAACTAAATTCGAGATTAAAACCTTCAGATTCATTAATAGAGGAAGCAGGACACCTTTATAAGAGTCCAGTTTCTAACGCTTACTAAATAATATTACTAACAAATGCAAACTGTGCGGTTTCACTGTGAAAAAAGTTTCCCGTCCACAGTACGCCGGACAAATTGGAATTGTTTTTGAGGAAAACTCAGTTTTCCATCGAAAGCTCCGTTTTCTAAGTGTTTTCCGTCCATACGAAATCGCAAAGCCGGCGTTTTCAAATTCCTCCGGTTTGAAAAAAGCGTTTTCGAAAAGCTCCGTCACGGTTTTCGTGTCGGATTAGTTTGGACGGAAGGCCTAACCGTAGAAATAAAGCTGCGTTTTCAAATTTCTCATTCGTGGTGTGGACGGGGCCTGAACGTGTACTTACAAAAGATAAAATCAAAGCTTATAGCTCGTGGCCCGTCGAGTACATAATCAACAAGTATAAATTAAACTAAGATCCAGGTGAAAATATCTCTACACAGCTATAGTGCGTGTGAGAGTTTGTCTTCTTAACTAATGATCTAAAGTTAGTTATCTCGCCAATCACAAAGGACTACAGACAATGCAATGAACCAATCAAAACTCGAAGTAATTACATGTAGCTGACGCGAAGCGCGGGAAAACGTGTGTTAGCGAGTTACGATTGGTTTTGGTTTTACTTTCTGATCGCATGAAAAAGTGGCGCGAGAATTTTTAAGCCAATCGTGTAGCGGATGAAAGCGAAACCAATTTCTTCCCGATACTCAGGTGAAAACCGCTCCGGCAATTTTCAAAAAAATGACAACCGACGACCAAGACAAACAAGACAAGCAAGACTTCAAAAAAATGACAACCGACTTCTCACTTAACTGTGGTGCACTGACGATGATCTTTAATTAAATCTTAACCTTAATTTGAAACCGAGATAAGCTCACCGATAAAATGATTCAAAAAACAACTAATGGGAGTTACACTCCTCCACATTCATATTTGAGCCTTTTGGAGAGAAAACTAAGAAAAAAATACTGATGCCTCTTCCCTCAGATCACAATTAGTTGTTTTTACGAAATATATTTCTTAGAAACTGGGAGATAAAATGGTTTGCTA